TCAATACCTTCTTTTCTGAAGCCAAAGCAATGAAACAATGTAGATTATATTATAGACTGATATCTGGTACCATTTTTATCGCATTTTCTAACTTGGCACCTGAGCCAAGAGAAATCTTGGCGCTTAATGTACCCATGCTGCACAATGTCGACTTTATTAATTATTGAAAATTTTAACCAAAGATGCTTGTAGTAAAGGCAAGCATATCGCATATTGTAAACACCAGATGTGCGCATGCGCAGACTGCGCAATGCCAATTTTCTTGTTTATGGAGAGATTTCTTTGACGTTTTAATCATAGATGCTATTAGTAAAGAAAAACGTCGCGCACAATAGCTATGGTCTTTTGGGAAGTACTAATCAATGCATGAAAAATGCGCTAAAAAACCTTTTAATGTTATGGTCACTACCAAAGAGATCTTACAATACCCATATCTTTACAGGAGTCAAAACCCGCACAGAGTGATAAGAATAAAACTCCAGAGCAACTAAATAATGAAGTAGTTGCTCAAGGTGACATCGTAAGAAATTTAAAGACTCAAAAGGCTGCCAAGTCTGAAGTCGATGCAGCTGTTAAATTACTTTTGCAATTAAAGGGCGACTATAAATCAGTGACAGGCACTGAATGGAAACCTGGTACTGCGCCCTCTGGTCCACAAAAGACAATTAACGTAAATGAGTTGAGTTTACAGATATCTGCGCAGGGTGATAAGGTAAGTGTCTCGCCCTCGTCATGTGAATTTGCAATTTTCGTTTAGGTGAGAAAATTGAAATCTGAAAAGGCTACAAAAGATATTGTAGACCCCGAAGTGAAACTTTTACTTACGCTTAAAGATACATACAAGAAGGCAACTGGTTCTGATTGGAAACCTGAAGCAGTGGTACCAGCGCATACTGACGCACCTCCCTCCCCTGAAATAGTGCACAATTCAACTGACCAAAATACACTTCTAGAGAAAATTTCAGCACAAGGTGATAAAGTGCGAGATTTGAAGTCCAAAAAGGTGGAAAAGTCAGTGGTAGAGGCCGAGGTGAAGGTGTTACTAGCCCTTAAAGCCGATTACAAAAGTTTGACCGGTTCTGATTGGAAACCCGGTGCGGTTGCTCAAACTAAGGCTCCAGTGCCTAAATGTGACAAGGCTCATGAAACTGAACTTTTGAATCAGATAACTGAACAAGGCAATAAAGTTCGGCAGCTTAAATCAGGTATTTATTCCATTAATTAGTAGATTGATGATCAATAAAAAAATTATTTATTTTGATGTTGCCGGTTTAGTAATTTCATTTTTTTTCCAGAGAAAGCCGATAAGACAGTTGTAGACACTGCAGTAAAATCGTTACTATCGTTAAAAGAACAGTTTAAAACCCTAACCGGAAACGTTTGGAAACCAGAAATGGCCACGCCCATTGTTGTAAGTCCGTCCGTGAACGGTAATGAAAGCGATCTTACATCCAAAATCAATCAACAAGGTGAAGTGGTGCGAAAAGCAAAATCTGGAGGAGCGGCAAAGGTATCACTGACACTATTTTGTTACTTGTACAAAAACTAAGTTGTTAGGCGGAGATCGACACCGAAGTCAAGAAACTGTTAGATTTAAAAGCGGAGTATAAGGCATTGACAGGAACTGATTTCCCAACGGGCGGCAGAACTCAAAAGACTACTAAACCAAAGGAGGAAAAAGTGACGAAAGCCAAATCGGAAAAGAAAGAGAAAGAGAAGAAGCCTACCGATGTAAGTACAAATCAAATAGCGTAAAATTTACTACAATTTACTTTTAAAAGGTGGAAGATGGTGCTGGCACTAAAAAACAGACACGCTTGGGGTTGGAAGCGAAAAAGGAGGAAAATCTCTCCGATTGGTATTCTCAAGTTATAACCAAAGGGGAGTTGATCGAATATTACGATGTATCAGGTTGCTACATCCTAAGACCGTGGTCCTACTCCATTTGGGAAGCAATTAAAGACTGGTTTGATGCAGAAATAAAGAAGTTAGGTGTTCAGAATTGTTATTTCCCGATATTTGTGTCCCGCGCTGCTTTAGAAAAAGAAAAAACCCATATTGCAGATTTTTCGCCTGAGGTATAAATAACTGGACAATTTCCTGATGTCACAATTTTCCCTGTTTAGGTCGCTTGGGTGACCAAATCTGGTGACTCCGAGTTGGCGGAACCGGTTGCAGTTCGTCCAACTTCGGAAACTGTGATGTATCCGGCGTACGCCAAATGGGTACAGTCGTATAGGGATTTGCCAATAAAACTCAATCAGTGGAACAATGTCGTTCGATGGGAATTTAAACATCCGCAACCGTTTTTACGGACTAGGGAATTTTTGTGGCAAGAAGGACATAATGCTTATGCCAATAAGGAAGATTGCCAAGCCGATGTTAAAACTATTGTAGGTTAGTATTGTCTTCATTAAAATGAAAGTGGCGTAACAGGTAAGCAGATGTTCAAAAGTTACAAATCCACAGCTCTAAACCATTCCCCATAAATACAAAAGCCAGGAAAAAAAGAACCAGCAAGAAAGTAAACCTTGCATAACGCTCACACAAATACAAGAAGTAAATTAACTACAGCAACAAAATACAAACAGAAGTATAAAAGCAAAGATATTTCAAGTCAGGTAATTGAGTCAAATGTGGTTAACAAATTAATCAACATAAGATACAAATTGCATCATAACTGCACATGGCAAAACGTGATAATTCGCTTTAGTATAAAACAGATCAAACACATCTAGACAAAACAACAAGTGATAAAGAACATCAAATTGGGCATGACTTTGTTCCTACGTTCTTCATCATTAATTCAAGAATGCCAACACTAGGTATTCAGGTTAAAGTAGACCATCACACATACAATCCCGCATTTTAAATGGGAGAAAAGTTAATTAGAGAGCCCCTTTCGCGTATTGCTAAGAAGCAAGAACTGTGGTGTGCACGTAACATATACAGCGCCAATTTAAACTGAATGAGGTTCTTCTTTCCACAGAAATAAACGGTTAAATCATACTGATAGAACTGCGCGAACGTAGCAAAATTACCATGAGTTAAACACATGGTAAGCTCAGGCAAAGTAAAGGTGGGCCGGGGTGAATAACAGGGTTTTTTACACTAGCAAAAATGAAGCAAAATGTAGCAATAGTAAACCGGATAGGCGCCACTTAGTCTTTAGTAAGTGTCAAGAGTAACGAGAATACTTACCTAAAGGGGAAACAAGGCAGATAAGAGATCTTGGTTCTGGTTTTGAGAAGCTAAAGAAATAAAATAATTGATAGGGGTAGAACATAAACAATAATTGTTGTCACAATCGAGGGTAATTTAATAAATGATCTCCAAAATATTAACATAGGCTGAAAAATCCAGATCCGCATGTCAATGTCTAAATTTTCAGCAAAAGGTGATCAACACGTCGTCAAGGAAATTACTAAAATCAAAGCAGGCCTCCGCAGAAAACAATGGAACTGTAATTGTTAAATGACTATCAAACGAATGTAGTAATTACTTTTGAGCTCAGAAGGGCGCGTTCTGCCGTATCTGTAACAGATAACAACACATACAAACAAATGAGAGGGATAGTGAATAGCAAGGCATAAATATATTGCGGTAGCAATGTAATCTACTTAATTCAAAATGTAAATAAGAGAAAACTCTGAGGGAAGACAAAGATAATACATATTAAGAAACATGCTGAATCATTATCTGTGCAGATACAAATCTGCAAAACGGTTCAATGGAGCAACCACAGGCGCATCAGAAATAGAACGAGAAAACACTGCAAGGAAATATGGTAATACGCAAAGCATAAGCCCTTATTGAGGTAGACAAGTAAAGTAACAAGTAATGGCGTATCAGAAAAATTATTTGCATGCAACCAATATGAAGGCAAAATCCTCACTGCACGAAAGCAACGAAATGCGTATGCAGAAAAAAAAGATCACAACCTCTAGCGGCGAAAGTAAAAAAAAAGCTATTTTAAAAGAAACTTAATAACACATCGATGGCCTCTAACGGCGAAAATAAAGAACTAGAGTAATTTCAACTCTACTATAGAAATAACTTAACATCGTACCTAACCTGGTTACAAAAGAAGAGTTACTTAAACGGTATATAAATTTGGTAAGAAGAAAAGAACGTAACAAATGCGATGTGTTAGAACGGCAAACATGTATAACCTCATACGTGGTATTAATGACCCTCTATGGTCTATAACTATACAATAATGAAACTCTCATTCGCGAATTGGGTTTGAAGCAATCTCGTTCACATTTCATTAAAGACAAAATAATTATAACTTCAATTAAATGAATACAACCCACTTTTAACGGAAACGAAGACCGCGGCGGTGGTGGTACAGAAACTCGGGCGCCACCCAGGGATGCAAATTTGCCCTTGGAGAAGTATTCGGCGGTAGGAACGTGTTCTTGCTTCTGGACCTGACTTGGTGGTTATAATGGCGTTGGAAGGCCCACGAACCCAGCCGGAGACGACGGTGAAATCCAGGGAACAGGGTTATGGGTGGTCAGCAGAGAAAACTAAAAGTAAAATTACAGCACCACCTATTGTTAATTTGAATGTTGGAATAAACCCGCGGGGTGGACGGTATGGAAACTGATAAAGTACTTAAAACTGAACGGCCTCAACTGGTTTTAAGCTTGTTTTAAAATAATATAATAACGTGGCTGAAATTCTAAAATTTTAATTTGTGTCGTCCTATAAATGACAATAGTTTTCGGTCGAAATAAAAACAATTGTAATATCTTGATGTGAACGGCCGCAAACGGCGGATTAATTGCAGCCTTAATTACGGTAGCGGCGGTTGAAACCCAACTATTTTAATTCATTAATTCAATTACCTTTAGCTTCTATCTTCAATTCCTAGAATACCGGGCGTTCATACACAGAGCGGTCACCAAAACTGGTGGAAACTGGATGCTTCGTTACACCCTAACCTCAAACCTGACATTGCGTTTGGTCGATATTAAATATGTGAAGGTTTGTAATTTAGTCATTTCAATGTGGCAATTGTTTTGTTACTATTGCATAGCGATCGACCAGTTCATGTGCCACTGTTTTGTGAAACTTGATACCACAAACAGAAGTAATCTAGCTACGTTTGTTTCTGAGATACAGGGTGTAAACGACAAGTTTGACTTTTTGAGATGTTATCGTATCTTACTACACATGTAATATAGAAAAAACGTAGATTTGTTCCAATGTTAGTACCTATATTTTAACGTCAATTGTTTTTCATTTTTTTTTTCCTGATTACATTGATGTTTCACTACCTATATATTTGGTAATTTTAGCCATGAAAACTTTTTTGTTACTTTTTTTTAAATAGTAGGCCATAGATTCGTGGAGATTTTGTTTTGTTTATTGATCCGTGGTAATTAAGGTAGCTGATACCAATCAATAAAAATAAAAATAAATAGAAACATGCCATTTAAACAATTAAAAAAATATGATATAATTATGTAAAAAATTGTGATACATCAATGTAATCAGGAAAAAGAAGGAAAAAAATTGACGTTATAATATACATGGTGTTTCATTTAAAAAACACAAATATTGGGTCAAATTGGGTTTAAATCCTTGGTGTTAAAATGCTATTGGGCATTGTTTTTTTTACATGGAATTACGTATCCGATTTGCCTGTAGGTATGTTGCAAGTGCGTTTGTATTATGATCACAAAGCACAATTCGTATTTTTATACTCGCATAAATTGTAAAACATCTGTGAACAGTTCAAACATGAAGTAATAGCAGTTCAGGTTACTGTATGGTCTAAGTTAAAAGCACAATGACGTCAGTTATAGACCATAGCTAAATTGATGTGTGACCTCAAACTTTTTTTTTCAGATTTGTATGCCAAAATTTATACCGACCTTCTTGCAATACCAGTGATCAAAGGACGTAAAACCGAAAAAGAAAAGTTTGCCGGTGGCGACTACACCTTGACAATAGAAGGATATGTCGCGGCTAGCGGTCGAGGTGTACAAGCCGCAACGTCACATTATCTCGGTCAGAACTTCTCGAAAATGTTTGAAATAGTATTTGACCATCCGGAAACACAAGAAAAGACATTCGCTTACCAAAACTCGTGGGGTGTCAGTACACGGTCGCTTGGTGTCATGGTGATGGTTCATGGTGATAATCAGGGATTGGTCATTCCTCCGCGAGTTGCATTAGTTCAAGTGGTAATTGTTCCGTGCGGTTTAAGCGACGTTGATCGACAGCTTTTACAAGACAGCTGTGATGAACTAGAAAAAGAACTACTCGGGGCCGGGCTACGTGTTAAAGGTGATTATCGAGATAACTATTCACCCGGATGGAAATTCAATCATTGGGAGTTGAAAGGAGTTCCTATTAGAGTTGAGTTAGGACCGAAAGACATTAAAAACAAACAGATAGTTGCCGTGCGGAGAGATAACGGACAGAAAGTTACAATGAAACGTGAATCCGCCGCCAAGGATCTTGCTACGCTCCTGGAGAACATTCAGCAGAATTTGTTTAATAAGTATGGACTATTGGGCTGTCACATAGACTTAATGTTTGTTTTTCAACAGGGCATCGGAGGAGTTTACAAGTCATACAATTCAGGTGACGGAATGGTCACAATTTACTCCTAATTTGGATAAGAAGAATGTAATTCTGTCTCCATTCTGTGGCGAAATGGAATGCGAAGACGCAATTAAAACAGACAGTACGAGGTACTAACTACTAAACTCTTTTCTCATTTTTTTAAAATATTAACTTCATTGTAATTACAGAGATGCGTCAGAGGTAGCCGAAGTTGGGGCACCTTCAATGGGAGCCAAATCACTTTGTATTCCTTTAGAACAATTACCGATGAAACCGAATGCGCGGTGTATCCATCCTAAATGTACTAGAAAGCCGAAATTTTACACCTTATTTGGACGCAGTTATTAATTATTTTGTGCTGTAAGTGCTGCACTAAGTAACTTATTATGTTGTGTTCTATAAAATTTTTACAAATAAAAGTAATTGAAGATTTTTGTAGTGTGTAATTAATTTGTATTAATTCCAAGCAAATATGATTCAAAACACTCACACCTACCACATTAATTCAATGTCGGTGAAAGAGATGAAAAAATCTTGGAGTATTTAATGTTTAATTATACATAAGTGTGGACAGGAAAAAATTTTTTATTTCATACTGTCCGGTAGATGTTCGATTACACTATCATTTTGAGTCCGGTAAGTGAGTTATTACAGCATCAGAGCCGTTAAGTGTCGCTAAGCAACACTTACCGGACTGTTATTTGTATACATCAAATTTGACATCTTCACACAAAAAACCCCAACATAAATTTGGCTGTAATTCTTTATTTCAAACATTAACATTGATTGTAATGAAACAATTTGTATTGCCCTCAACACTAACGCCTGGGTTATTACTGGATGTCGAGTTAGTAATGTTTGATTCCATCTGCTGTAGAACTTCAATGAAATTTTCGCCGCCTTGTATCAGTTGTATCATACGGGCAATCTTAACTTTTCCTTCTACCGAGCTTTCGATGTATTTTTCTGCCGTCGATGCGCTTTTCCATGCCCTATGACACTTTAACACCGAAACCCAGGCAAAAAATCTCAATTCAAAAACTTACAGCATCCAAACAGTATGCCAACATGACGTTTTCCTCTACTTGTTTCGCCCCATGTTCGTTCCTAAATTGGCAAAACACTTAGTACTCTTTTTCATACCTTGCGGCCGACTTCTTAGGAACCAACTTTTCGGTTGCTTCATGAGATTTCGGCAGGATTGTATCGGGAACAGTGGAACATCCCACAACGTTTATAGCGTCCATTTTTAGTGACAATTCAACTCATGTATAAAAAATCGCATAAGCCGCAGTGAAATTGTCACTTTGACAGCGGCAAAAGTTACCTGCAACTTTTCCAGCGACAAATGCACTTAGTGGTTTTTTCACTTATTCATTTTCGAACCAATTATCGCATTATCCTTACCCATATGACTAGTTTGACGTCTGTCAATAATTGATTAGTTTGGTGAATTTCTTGTTCGTTAAATTGTCCTGCCGAATTACACTCGAGGTTTGTATTTAAACCGAATAAATTTGGGTTGTGGCAATACAAATCTGTTTCCTTTTAGCAATTGGACTCGAAAAACTGTCAACCTAAAAATGCTCCACCTGCGGTGTCGCATTTTTATTAGTTGACAGTTTTTCTCGTGTAATTGCCAGGCAACAGATTTTTTTTACCTAAACAACCCAAATTTACTCGGTAAAATACAAACCTCTTGTGCAATTATAAGTGACAATTCAACTCATGTATAAAAAATCGCATAAGCCGCAGTGCAATTGTCACTTTGACAGCGGCAAAAGTTACCTGCAACTTTTCCAGCGACAAATGCACTAGTGGTTTTTCACTTATTCATTTTCGCACCAATTATCGCATTATCCTTTCCCATATGACTAGTTTGACGTCTGTCAATAATTGACTAGTTTGGTGAATTTCTTGTTCGTTAAATTGTCCTGCCGAATTACACTCGAGGGTTGTATTTAAACCGAGTAAATTTGGGTTGTGGCAATTCAAATCTATTTCCTTTTAGCAACTGGACTCGAAAAACTGTCAACCTAAAAATGCTCCACCTGCGGTGTCGCATTTTTATTAGTTGACAGTTTTTCTCGTCTAATTACTAGGTAACAGATTTTCATTACCTAAACAACCCAAATTTACTCGGTAAAATACAAACCTCTTGTGCAATTATAAGTGAAAAAATTCAATGTAAATAAACTACAAACTATAGCAACGGCCGTTGCCACAGAAACAAGGTAATGCGATTTTTACAATATAATGAAATTTTGTAATCTTTGAAATGAAATAAGGATACAAAACAGACTTACAGTATGAAATAAAATACGTTACGATATACGTCCGGTAGTACTTGTAACAGCACTCGTTTAAGACATTCTTGACTCGGCTCCTGACGTTGCCTCGTCCATAATGTCTAACTCGTACTGTTACAAGTAACCTACCGGACTTATAACATAAATAACTATTGTAATGTTTAAGTTGGTATCAACTATTATATTTTAGTTATGTATGCGATAGAGTAAGGTTGGCAATAGAACTAAGAATGATGTCTACTGTCGTGGTTTTCTTCGAATAAATAGTATAAGTACAAGGTACTAATAATTATTTAACGTACAAGTAAACAGTACAATTGGCGACGAGTGTAAAAGGTGATTCGTGGGTGAAATCAAACTGGGGTCTGTATTCAAGGAGTACACGACAATTTACGTATACACTACACGACATACAACAAAATGGCGGCAAGCACGTTTGGTCACATTGAAGAATTTTGCGTTCAGAAAGGAAATTGGAGATTATGGACGGAGAGATTGGAACAGTACTTTATAGCCAATGATGTACCTAAAGAAAAGAAAGTACCAATATTGTTAACACTTGTCGGGTCTGAAGGATATTCTCTAATTAAGGATCTTTGCACTCCCGGAGTGCCGGCAGAAAAATCATTTGAGGAATTAAAGAAGCTAATGCTAGAACATTTACAGCCAACACCAAACAAAATTGCGCAGCGTTATAAGTTCAAGAACCGAAAGCAGGGTGATGAAGAAACAGTTTCGGAGTATCTTGCTAGTCTAAAACAACTGTCTATCAATTGCGATTTTGGAGACAATTTAGAATCGAGTTTAACTGATCAACTAGTGTGGGGAGTGAGAAGTGAAACAGCTAAACGCAAACTATTGGCGGAAGAACAGTTGACGTACAAGAAGGCGGTTGAAATCACATTAAGCCTCGAAGCGGCTAATCGGGACGTGAGTGCTATAATGAACAAAAGCGAAGTGCAAGTCAATTCTGTCAATTATTTTAAACGCAAAGAACCAACGTATAAACGTAACAGCAGCACTAGTTTCAATAAAGGCAGTGATTCACAAAGTACAGAGCGACCAAAACAAGGGGTCAACGTCCGACAGCAATCGGCTGATTTTAAAAAGACAAGTTGTTATTGTTGCGGTGGACAAGGTCACTACGCCAAAAATTGTAAATTCCGGAGCAGTTATTGCAGCGGTTGCGGCAAGAGGGGCCACACAAGTAGAACATGCAGGAGAGGTCACATTTCAAACAGAAACCACTACATGAGGGGAGAATCGAGTGAAAATCAAGTGGAAGACGAATTATCGTATGGAAGTGACACGGAACAGGAAATTTTATTTCATGTGGACAATGAGGTCAAGGTTCAAGTAGATGAAGACCCAAATTTAGATTTAGATGTGCTATTCAATATTTCTGAGGAAAATGCAGAGAAATATAAGAGTGTCGAATCAAATTGCAATGGTTCACACGAAGTAAATTTTAATAATATGAGCAAAACGAAAGTCAATCCTATTACTATAAAATTGTTAATTGAGAATAAGATAGTTGATTTTCAAGTTGACACAGGATCAAATATATCTGCAGTTTCTAAAGAATTTTATGTTAAGTTTTTCAAGGGTAACCGATTGTTTACTACAAATGACATTTTCAGGAGTTACGTAGGCGATTCGATCGTTCCTATAGGTATAATGAAAGCACAGGTTAAATGGAAAGGTAATGTGTACAGTTTGGATCTGTACGTTGTTCCCAATGGCGGTCCTCCGATAATAGGGAGAGTCTGGTTAAAGAAATTAAAAGTCAACATCGATTTTGAAGGTAATCATGTAAATTTAATTTGCAACTCAGCATTTAAAAATGACGATTCAGATTTAAATAATCTATTAAAAAAATTTGACAGCATATTTACAGAAAAAGTAGGTTTATACAATAAAGAGAAACTACATCTAGAAATGAATGAAAATGCTAAAGGGAATCCGATTTTCCTAAAGCATCGTCCTCTAGCTTATGCTCTTAAAAGCAAAGTTGATTTAGAATTAAATAAACTAATTAATGAAGGGATTTTAGAAGAAGTACCATATTCAGATTGGGCAACTCCTATAGTGCCAATATTAAAGAAGGATGGTTCTGTTAGGATTTGTGGGGATTATAAGGTAACTGTAAATAAGTTTCTTAAGGATGGCAGTTTTCCTATTCCAAAAGTTGAGGATATATTTTCAAAATTCTGTGGCGGTCAACAGTTTACGAAGTTAGATCTTAGTATGGCTTATCAGCAATTAGAATTAGACGAGGAATCAAAATTAATAACCACAATTTCAACTCATAGAGGTTTATTCAAATATAATCGCTTACCTTACGGGGTTAAGCCAGCAGCAAAGAAATTCCAGAAAATGATAACTAAATTATTAGGCAACATTGAAAATGTAGGGATATTCTTCGATGATATTTGTATAACTGGAAAGAATCGAGTTGAACATTTAAAAACTCTTGAACAGGTATTGAATAAACTAAAGGATGCAGGGTTAACATTAAAGAAGAATAAGTGTGCATTTCTCAAAGATAGTGTTACATATCTAGGACACAAAATAGATTCAGAGGGTATTAGTATGTCCATTGACAAAATTGAAGCTATACAAAAGGCACCAAAACCTGAAAATGTGAAGGAATTGAAAGCATTTCTTGGCACAGTAAATTATTATGCTAAATTTTTACCTAATTTATCTACTTTATTACAACCTTTATATAAATTATTGAAACATGATCAAAAGTGGGAATGGTATGAGGAACAAGTTAGGGTTTTTCGCAAAGTAAAAGAGTTGTTGACATCTGAACAAATATTAGTTCACTATAATCCGAAATTAGAATTGCATTTAAACACAGACGCCAGTCCAGTGGGTATAGGTGGTGTTATTGCTCATATATTACCTAATGGTGATGAGAGACCAATAGCATATGTTTCTAGAGGACTTTCAGATACAGAGAAACGTTATTCTCAATTAGAAAAAGAAGCGCTTGCTATTGTATTTGCAGTCAGAAAGTTTCATCAATATTTATTTGGACGTAAATTTGTCCTATGTACTGATCACAAACCTTTAACAATTATTTTTGGGCCGACTAAAGGCATTCCAGAAATGACGGCTAACAGAATTCAAAGATGGGCATTATTTTTAAGTGGGTATGACTATGATATACAATATGTGAAAGGTATTCAAAATAATGTAGCAGATGGGCTATCTAGATTACCAAGCAAACTAAGTAATGTCGATGAAATAGATACTTCATATTTATCATATGTAACCGATAACATTCCTTGTTTAACAGATCAAGTAATCAGGAAATTTACGGAAAAAGATATCATATTAGCTCAAGTTTACAAAAATATTGAAAACGGATGGCCAACACAGTTACAGTCACCGGAATTAAATCCTTATTTTAACAAGAGACGAGAACTGTATATTGATCAAGGATGTATTTTAAGGGGTTACAGAGTGGTTATTCCTGATGCTTTACAATCAAAATTATTAGGTGAACTGCATATTGGACACATGGGCTTAGTAAAAATGAAAATGTTGAGTCGTAGCTACGTTTGGTGGCCTTCACTAGATAATGATTTAGAAACGCTAGTTAAGAGCTGCGAAGCGTGTTTAGAAGAGAAAGATTTTCCAGCAAAAACTAAAATTAATAATTGGTCGTGGCCGACTGGTCCAAATATCAGATTGCATGCGGATTTTGCAGGACCTTTTTTGAATAAGCAATTTTTAATCATTACGGATGCATATTCAAAGTGGGTAGATATCAAAATCATGAGTAATATCACAGCTGCTAAAACAATAGAATGTTTTCGTGAATATTTTTCATTGTGGGGAATTCCAAACAAATTAGTTACAGACAATGGTAGCAGTTTTATGTCACAAGAATTTCAAAATTTTTTACGTAATAATGGTGTAGTTCATCAGACTACAGCACCATACTGTCCTCAAGGTAACGGAGCGGCGGAGAATGCTGTTCGTACGTTTAAAAACAAAATCAAAATACTAGTTAAATACTTACCATTACAACAAGCATTGCACAATTATTTGTTCGCTTATCGAACAACGCCACATTGTACAACAGGTTTGAGTCCTTCTGAGCTACAAATAGGTAGGAAGATGATAACCAGATTAGACAAAATTAAACCAGGTAGTAACTTAAGAAATAAAATTGAAAGTAAACAACAAAAACAAGAAATGAATTTTGGAGGTAAAAGGAAAGTAAACTGGGAAATAGGTCAGGATGTTATGGTCAGGGATTTTATAAATTCGAAATGGGTAAAAGCAGTCATATCTAAGCAAATTACAAATGATATTTATTTAGTTAAAACTAAAGATAACTTAACTTGGAAAAGACACACCAATCAGATGATAGATTATGAACCTAATAGTGATATGGAAATTGTTAAAAATTCAGTTATTGAAAAGGAGCATTCCATTGTTAATACAGATAATATTGTACATTGTAATGAAGCTACTACACAAAGAGACAAACCGATTGTAGAGAACAAAACCGATTCAACGGATCCTACAATTGTAAGTAAGGATATTGAACCGAGTTTGACATCTCAAAGTACAGTTAAGAATAATAATGTAGAACCAATTACCGAAATTACTTTAAGACGATCCGAAAGGATTAGGAAACCGAAAATCATTTATGATGTTTAGTTATATAGTTATATTTGTTATTGTATTTGTAACTTAAGAGGGGGGTATATGTAATGTTTAAGTTGGTATCAACTATTATATTTTAGTTATGTATGCGATAGAGTAAGGTTGGCAATAGAACTAAGAATGATGTCTACTGTCGTGGTTTTCTTCGAATAAATAGTATAAGTACAAGGTACTAATAATTATTTAACGTACAAGTAAACAGTACATAATGTACATTAATTTTCGAAGAGGACTAGAATACCCTTCAAGGCAAGAAATTAAAATTTGTGAAGAAGTTGAAAAATGCCCAGGAAAATACCCAATCAGAAGATTGTTGATTGATTCTTACAGACCACAAAAAATTCCAACAGAAACTATTTTTTTAATAGCATTGGTTTTAATGGAGGTTTTAACAATTCCTTGATGGTGATGGTGATGGTTATTATAATGGTTTGTTTCCCAATTTTTCAGACCAACTTGTTCACAGAGGATATGGGGGAATCTGAAAAAAGGGGAGTAACTGTAGGACAACACTAAACAGTTAAACACACATTCACACATCGCGTTTACAATGTGCGAAACTTAAGAATCTGAAGAAGTATCTCTTGAATACTTAACATGGCGTGGCGTTAATAAGGTTTAAGAGTAACTTAGCCAAGATTTAAAAGGAGCTCCACACATCCACTGATATACACAAACAACAGACTGCTAACCTTAAGGCAATGTTAGACGATACAAATTTTATAGTAATTCTTGCAGAAATTATTGCTGCGATTATTGCAGCAATTATTATAGAAAGATGCTGTGCAATTTGTTTGGCAATTTTTGTATAACTATTTAAATGTTTCAGCAGTGATTATACGGGTGTGTATAATCAATGGTTTCAGGCCGCAATGCTCAAAATAAAGAGATGGAAATCGAAAGGCAATTTTTTCCGTAATAAAACCGATGCTAATTAAAATAAGTGACATTTGTGAAATGTTTAGTATAAATACCTAGTATAATCTCAAAAAAGTTTCTCGATTCTGTTGTGATCCTCTTACCAGCTTTATATTGTAGTCCACTGCATTAAAAGTAGGTACTTAACGATTGTAATGTGTCTGATTTATTCAAGATGCAGTGTTTATGTTAACAAAATCAATCACCACACATTGTTTTTCAATTTTTGTTGCAATGAGAAACCATATTATTTTCAAGCCGAACCTGTTTTAAGGGTCTTTTAATTTGAAGCCGGTTCTGTTGTAGATTACTGCGCACACTCGCCAACGGCCTGCGTCAATTTTCTGCAACAAGACTGTCACTCTATTTATTATTATAATACAAGTCTAAATATAAACAGTAGTCACAGCAATGTCCGATTCAAATCAGAGTTCCACTGGTAAAAATAGATTGGATACGCCAGATTTTCTAGCTTTTAGTGACGCTTCATGTGTGGGAGAATTTTCACCGACAGTTAGTAGCAGCCCACAGAAGCAATGGTATGGTAATCAAGCTCAGAATATCTCGCCCTATTACTTCAATAATAGACCACACGGCAACCCCCGATACAGTCCCAACAATACCCCACCGCATAAAGTGTTTCAAAGCTTCACGAGGAACCATCGGAAACCGAACTTTAAAGGAAGCAATAGCTTCAATTCTTACTTTCAGAAATCTACGAACCGTAGTTTCAACAGTGGCAGGGTTTGTATTCATGTGTGAATAATTGGGGAGCTACATATGTTACATTTTAGAATGATTCTTCAAGTATGTCAAAATATATACATCCGTCCTTTATGGAAGATCCTTGGTTGGAGTTAGAAAAGCAATTAAATGCTAGTAATTCTAACAATTCCAGTAAGGAGACAACTGAGGATTACATTAATGAAACAGTAGAAGAAGATAATGAAGCAGTAGACGACTACAAGGAGACAAGGGAAAACTATAGTGGTGAAAAAGTGGAAGATTAAAAACATAATAACTGTGAAATACCTATATAATATTATTTGTTAACTCTGTGACATGTTTATTCTAGAGACATTATCAGGATTTATCTTTTTGTAATGTTATGTTCTTTGATCCCCTTTTGTTTTGACTGGTGTGGTATTTTTTGAAATTTAAAGGCCGATTCTCACTTTCGTGCAAAGAACCGGCACGGGCAAAGTTTTTTGAGTTCAATTCACACTGCGACACGCTTGCCGCAGGTAAGCAGTTTCTACGTGAGTTTCAACTGTAAAAATGTTCGAAACTTTCACGTTAATTAAAATTGGTCTAATATTAGATGATGAAGAACAAGAAAGTACATATTGCAGAAAAAGAAAAATACGTTTTTGTGTACATAAAATGCATAATAAGTATCTTTTATGACCGAAATCATTTTCTTGGACACATTCAATCAGCATCTCATCTTGTTCCGCTGAAAAAGTGTTCCTTTGCTGACCCTTCAACCTTTCTTGTACTATGAAAAATGAACGAAAGTCGGTGACCTGCACAGATTGTATTCACACTTGTCGGAACGTGCACGGTACATGCCCGGCAAACATTTGTTTCGGAAGAACGCTGCGTGCAAAGGCCGTAGCTTGCCGAGTCGTTGCTCGCATAGTGTGAATTACACCCCAAAAAATTCATAAGATTCAATAATATAGATATTTTGCCGAGTCTGTGCCTTGACTGTGCCGAGTACGAGCCTTGCACGAAAGTGAGAATCGACCTTAATTCTTTTAGCTAACGCTATGTAACCCAGTCCCAAGTAAGAGCCAGACTGCTGATTGTGCCTTGCAAGGTAGCCATAATGGTGGATGATTAGATCTTGGTAATTGCCTAATCCTAATAATTTTTGGCCAGCATTCCATTTAGCCGGCTGGAGCTAGAATAACATTTCCACTAATTGGCTTTCGTATTCATTCAGATCATTAGGTCCCTACAGACGGACGTTTTTGTATGCGTTCATGTACGTGCATACAAAACGTTTCTCAACGTGTGGATGCAAATTGTGCGTATTCGTTATATTAATTTGAATTTGCTTTGTCCTTTGTTATACAGGGAGACACTTTTAAAACTTTCAATGGGCGATATCGTTTTTTATATTAGAGGTATCACAAAATGGCCCCGCCACCCCCATGCCTAAATTTTGAATTGTGACGTGATACATCACATTGGAAAGTGTATGGTATTTCTGAAAAGAATTTTTTAAGAGCTTTCCAATGATGTATCATCAAGTGATACGTCACAATTCAAAATTTAGTCATGGGGGTGGCGGGGGGTACGAGGTTGAAGTTGGTTCCTTCTTTATACGACCATTTTGCTTCCCCCTCCATTCTACCGAAACGGTTTTGGCCATTTTGTGATACCTCTAATATAAAAAACGATATCGCCCATTGAAAGTTTTAAAAGTGTCACCCTGTATAAATGTCTGATTGTGGAACACTGTCCCGCGAATTCCTGCGGGAATTTATTGAATTATTTATTTGGTCATTTTCGTTTGGAGCACAGCAGTGCACTTCACGTTTGCAATGCACAGTATACTAATTCAATGGCGGTAGTCGTACCAATATACAAAAAGGGAGATATTAATAATCCGAAAAACTATAGACCTGTATCTATATTACCTGCTTTTTCCAAAATATTTGAAAAGGTATTATTTAAACAAATATCAGCTCACCTAGATAAAAATAATATACTTTACATAAAGCAATTTGGTTTTAGGTCTGGTAGAAGTACAACTGATGCTCTTTTGTCTTTTGTCAATACGACCTTGCAATGTTTTGAGGCTGGAGAATTTTCGACAGCAATTTTTTTGGATTTATCGCAGGCTTTTGACTGTGTTTGCCATCAAATTTTATTGATAAGTTGGAAAAAGTGTATAATTTTGATGTCCCGAGTTTGTCCTTAATCAGGTCGTATCTATCCGATCGATCTCAATATGTCCGCATTGGTAATGAACAGTCCAGTACACTAGCAATTACAAAAGGAGTCCCCCAAGGTAGTATTCTTGGCCCACTCCTGTTCCTTCTTTATATCAATGACCTTCCTAGTTATATTTCACCAAACAATAATTGCATTCTATATGCGGATGACATTACTCTGTTGGTTCAAGGTGATAATCTAGCCCAGTTAATATCTGAAGCTCAATCTCTCTGTGACAAAACTAAAGAGTGGTGCACTGCTAATAAGTTAAACTTAAATTCAACGAAAACTGAACAATTGTTATTCTCTTTAAAACGCCATGATGTATCTTATTCGCCATCAGTAAAATTTGTTGGAATACACATTGACCCTAAGTTGCAGTTTACTCTTCATATTGATTATATTCAATCAAAACTAAGTAAAAATCTGTTTGTCTTGCGTAGATTATGTGATATGGTGACGTGTGATTCAGAAAGGCGTATTATGCTTTATGTCATAGTTTGTTATCTTATGGAGTTATTGTGTGGGGTAATTCGTCAGCAAGTAGCCAGTTATTTAGAATACAACGTCGCGCAATAAGGATCATTGCGAAGCTTGGTTATAGAGTGGACTGTAGGTGTGCTTTTACTAATCTAAACATTTTGACGTTACCCTGTTTATTTATTGAATCGTGTTTGCGATTTGCAAGAAAGAACATTTTAAATTATCAGCAACAAGCTTTTTATCACGATTATGACACCCGAAACAAAAGCAATGTTCGTCTCCCTTTATTGAGGCTCAACAAAACTCAAAAAGGTTTTGAATATATGGCACTAAAGTTTTTCAATTGTTTACCTGATACCGTCAAAGCACTATCCAACCGAGAATTTAATCGCTGTATTAAAAATGTTCTTTTAGCTCAAGCCTTTTACTCCACGGATGAATTTATAAATTTCGATTTTAGTTTGATGCTATAGGTTACAATTTAGAAATATGTTTGATGACGAGTGTATGTAATTCTTGTTGATTACCTAAACACAATAAACTTTATTATTATTATTATTATTATTATCATTTGACATGGTCAAAATAATACTGCGAAATTGTAAGTGCGTCTGGAGCAGAGGTAGTTCAGGTGCATGAACGCGTACGAAAACGTCCGTCTGTAGCAGCATATTGACAGGGTTTAGGTCTTGGAGGGATGATGAGAAGAATCAAGAATAAAAAACTTTCCCCCTACTTCTGCATCGGGAGGTAAATAAGAGTGTAAATAGTAGGTATATAGATAACATAAATATTATAGCAGAACCCGCGAACCTCGCACAACCTTTATTGGGAAATCTCGTTTTATTGTTGGATGGAACATACGCTCGGTTTCAGCGGCTGCGGCCGGTCTTCACCTCGCCCGTCCAGCGAGCTGTATAAATACCTAATATAGCTGTATGAAATAACGGGCGATCAAAAATGAGTTGCTGTCGAGTCGCCTTTGGAAGTTCAGGTTAAGTACGATTTTCCATGTAAACAAAAATCCCAAAGGTCGATTCGACAGCAACTCATTTTTGATCGCATTGTATACTTACCGACCTATTCCTATTCCGACATTCTTCTCATACCTACCAAATGTACAAAAAACATTCGTACAAATTGGTCCAGCTAGCCGTTTTGGAGGAGTGCGGCCACAAACACTATGACAACAGAGTTTTGATATATTTGATAATATAGTGCCTAGGACTATAGTCCGTTTCACCTTGATTTTACAGTACAGGCTCTTATGGCCGACAACGATGCCAAATGTCATTAGAATATGAGTCTTCTCGATTCCGGTTCCAACTCCTGCCTCTATAGCACTGATAGTGGAAACCAACGAGACCGTTGCTATCACATTTCAGTACCTATAGCAAAGATCGAGTAACGGGTACTCTTTGCCTATATAGTAGCACTTTCCGGGTCCTGAAAAGTCGCCGTGACGGTTCAGCGGCTAATTGTGCTCGTTTTGGGCGTTACTCTGAGGAAAATGAGGGCTACTCGTGATATGAATGAAATGACGCTCCTAGCCAAAAGCCGAGGTAAGCAATGGACCGAAAATGTGTGCCTTTGTCGATGCATCCAACCTTCGGATCGCCCTATTCCGAAAACAATTATATTTGTTGTTGCCATCTCTTGTAAGGTTTCAGAAATTTCTAAACACAACGAAATCTACTACCTGGAGGTTAGCTAAGGAGAATTTTGATATTCAATTCAAAATTACGCGCTCATGTGGGCCTTATGGACCTGCACATGATGCAGCCAAAGATTGAGATTAAATCCCAAAGATGACGCCCTAACTATACAACGATGGATAAAAATCCGATCGCTATGTTTACGGCCTTCATGTGGTATACACACGGAACTAAACCTCTCGCCAGGAAAGATTGCCGGTCACAGAACACTTGATCCCGGTCTACAATCTATGTTTTTCTAAATATGTGAGCGACTTCCGGGATAGTATCGTTGGTCAATGTTGAACGAAAAGACTTTTCTTTCAACGTATGGCACGATCCTATTCCGGAAGTCGCTCGCATCTTAAGAAAAACATAGATTGTAGATCGACACAAGGTCTGCTGTGACCGGCAATCTTTCCTGGCGAGAGTTATATATAATTATACTGGAACGCGCGCTCCGAGAGAGAGGGCCACAAGGGGGATCTCTGTCCTACTCTAGCGCATGCATAGAGCAGCCTATCTGATACGTTTTGAATTTATATTAATGATCAGTTTCCCAATGAGTGACAGTGACAGAAATCCCCCTTGCACTATCTCTCTCGGCGCTGCGTTTCTATGGCAGAGACCGCCAGTGCGTGTCCCAGTATAATTAAAGTTCAGTGGGTATACACGAAATACAAGAGGGCCAGATAATGAGAGAACAACGGATTGTCTTTAAATTTGTAGTCTGAAGGACTCGCAATTTTAAGTAGGACACTGCAGTACCACCTGTGGAAATGATAATAGTAATAATGAAATTTGGAAGCACATCAAGATATTGTTATTTTTTGTTTGTTAAAAATTTCATGTTGATGTTGTGTATCTCTCACCAGTTAATTAAGGTTAGCAGATAAAGATACACCGATTTAAAAAGTGGTAGATAGAAAAAAGTAATGGTATCACTTCTTTATTAGATATTTTACACTGATATAAATTTATAAATTAAAAATAATAAATACAATAAAATGAAGTAAGTAAAGTTAATTTAATGTAGGAGAAGGTTTGTAATTTACATGATGCATTTTATCTACATAAAGGAGATGTGTGTGGCAAAATCCTTATGTACAGCACGTTTTTATGATCAAATACTTATCATTACAAATAATAAGTAGATATTTATAGAAGGCATTAGAATCACAGTGATATTGAAAATTAATTAAGCTCTCCCTGGCCGTAACTACTTAGAGAGTACCGATACACGAGAGTTCCTCTTTGTGTGTTCGATATAGGACCAAATTTATTAATTATTGTCCCACCATGTAAGGAAAAATGGTTTTGCAGGGTATTCCTCTGAAGCAGTATGTTGAATTGACATAAATCATCAGTACCTATTTAAATTTCTTACGCCATATTTGAAATTTTTTATAAAACACACTGTGATATGCATTAAAAAAATTTGTGCCCAGTTTTAATTGAATAAACTTTTCAGTCTCTATCGAAATACCTCCTTTGATAAATTGTTCGTAATTGAAATTTAGATTCGATCTTAAAATAAAGATGAAATTGCTCCACTTTATTCCTCAAGCGCGCAATATGATTTATTGATATGGAAGATTTTAGTTGGTCAGCACATTGCGAAATCACACTTTAGAAGTAATGCAGAGCAATTTGCTACCGTTTGAGCAAGTAGTTCTTACATGCTACCACAGATAAAAACACAAACAAATGGAGAAGTAGAAATGCCTGGTCCTTATACAAACATAATGCGGAAACATTCAGTTGGTACCTACTTTGGTCCCTTACCACTATGAAAAAAGCTTTATTCAGTTAGATATTGATATCAAATATAAAATTTAATGTGTATGTACACATACTTTAGGTGGACAGCACATGCTACATTCTCTAAAAAAGTCCTAAAAATACTCTAAAGTGTATACATAAAAATTAATGGGGTAATTAATCACTAACCACTAATTGTTTAACTTAGCAGGTCTTGGCACACCGTTTTGAGTTTCACTAATTATTTTATTGCTCCCACTAGCCACGACGGATACTAATTTAATACTATACAAATTACGCCGATAGTATAAACTTGTAAAGAAGTTCGTCAATTCACTCGACCTGGACACGTAAGAATTTTGAAGCTGGAAGCTTTATTGTAAGAATCTTTCAGTTTCGCTGGGTTCGTCTTCACCTGGTGGCGACGGTCCCGATATCGACAAGGTTGGCAACCCAAAATGACCTTCCTCTTCCAAGGATAGATTATCTACGCTTCGTGCTCTTCTACAAAGTTTTGATATGGATCCATACCTACGCATAAACTCCTTAGAATCGAACCCAGGTCCACTATTAGATATAAATATTGCAGAATTAGTCCGGGAACGTTGGTGGTGAGGTGACTGAATCTTCACTTCCTTCTCCGCGCGGCATTTCTATTAAAACAGTAACGAACTGATCAATTTTCATTCAAAAATACATAGCTTTAGTAATCAAATACTAAAGAAAAAGCTATAGCAGTTCTATTACCTACAGACTACGTTATTGCTCAAAAGATACGCTAATTATGTTAATTACTTGTACTAGTTGAGTACAGCGAGAAAGCAGGACAATTTTACACCATAGTATTAAGTGATAAACGCACCTCGTGGATAATGTAAAAATTGTGCCAATAAGCCAACCGATCACATTTTTTTTGCAACAGTGCCATTTGTGCTTAAATACTTGTGCTAATGATCGATCTTTACCATAAGTCTCCCACCTCCAATATGTCACTAAAAAGAAGTATTAATTCGTATTTCGAACAAGCAAAACGGAAGGATGTCGGCGCCAAATATTTCCGAAACTGTTGGACCAGTAGGTATTCTAAAATCGCATCACTCGTGCCATGGTAGGTATAATACGCAAAAGTAATTTCGACGTTAAATAAATGCAATCCCGTAACAAAGTCCTAATCCGATTATCTCCGGCACAGAGGACCTTTGGTCACGATATCCACAATATACCTACTTCTTTCTTTTCGACGTAAGTAATATCACCAAACAGGCTTTACTTTAAGTTCATTACCGACCTTTGCCACGCAGACCTAGACATTTACGAGGTGTTCATAATCGGATTTTCCGTTATATGGTAGCTATATTTAATCTCCTTTTTTCTTTGCTAAACTTTACTTTTCATAAGAACTGAAGTACAGTTAGTACAAAGCTATTCACACTATATCAAGCCTACTCTGCCTTGATATGTGCCGAATTCGACTTTGACTCGCACGACTTACCTCCCTATTATAGAGGCATAAACGAGCGAGCCGAGGAAAAGTTCGGCAGAAACCTAGGCAGAATAGAGGTTTGATAGTGAAACCTTTTGTTATGCTGAACTCGCCTTGAGCTCGCTCGATTTTAATAGGTACATGTTTCATTGTTCCACTTTCTGAGCACACCTGAACGAGTTCAAGGCGAGTTCAGCATTAGAAAGGTCACTCTTTTAAAATGCTTTTGGTATTATTACCTTTAATTGAGGTGATGTAGCTTATGAACACCCCTGCAATAATATCCACTGAGCTCAAGGCGAGTTCAACACAAAAAGGGTCATACTATCAAACTTCTATTCTGTCTAGGGTTGTGCCGAACTCGCCCGGCACTAATTTTGCAATAATCATTAGGTATTAACACTCCCGTCAAGCTAGTTTTTCTAAAAAAAATGCTAACTCCAGAGGCATTGCCAAGCAAGCCTTTAGTTTTGGTTTACCTGCAGACTTTTCAAGAACTGGAAATCGATATAGCCCGGTTGATATGTGACGCTAGAAATAGGAAGAGGCTTTGGCGCATGCCTTGGAGTTTATGCTGCAAAGAAAACTCCGCGCACATCATTGGTACGGATGAAAACTGGCAGCATTGGAGCCCTGTGGCCGTTGAATTTAAAATTTTAATTTCAATATATTATTGTGGGGAAGTGGCGTTTTTGATTTACTTTTTACAGGTTGAAAGAACCAAAAATATAGAAGAAATAGTAAAAAGATTAATGGAACAGCAATAAACAAAACGAAGCTGAATGCGATGCGGGGGCTGCACTTGTGGATAATGATTGGGCATCCCAAGAACTCCGGACACTTGAACCTGGTCACAGTACTTCTCCTTATTCTAACTCAAAGCAATGTATTATAGTAATTACCTTGGCAGTTGAGGACTGCTGTTGAGTAACTCAAAGGAGTAAAACGGTATTCCTCCAACAAATCTTCCTTGTGCAATAATTTGCTGCTTTTTTGTCCTCAGATGGTATCGATAAAGAGCTGGTAAACGTCTCTGAATTTTCATGGATGTGCTTTTAATATGACAAACGTAAATGGAAGGCTGCCAAGGTGGGATCATTCCTGTGGAAGCATCTGGAGACAGCGTGTAATTCAATTCATGCTCGATAAATCCCAAATACGCTTTTGGCATCTTTGTGACATATTAGGAGTGGGGGGGTCAAATTACTTTTTCTGCCAGATGAATAGCTTCCAAGCTACGAGTATAGGCCCGAACTTTGTTAGAATTTGCGACTTTTAGGTAAACTCTGAATGTAAGTAGGTACGCGATAATCATTCGATGTTTTCGAGATTATCTTATATATCTTATATATCTTATGTATCTTATATATCTTATGTATCTTATATATCTTATATATCTTATATATCTTATATATCTTATATATCTTATATATCTTATATATCTTATATATCTTAGTTTCATTTTGAGGATTTCGACAAGTAAATATTTCTTTTATGTGTATTTTACATTGCGACGGTGATACCTCTAGTAAAAATAAATTTTTAAAATACAGTGAGCATTATCATAATTTTTTCTTACGCATTTTTAGCACTACTATAGAGGAAATATACAGGGTGTGTAAAAAAGTAGATTTTGATACCAAACTTGATTTTTTAAAATACATTTTCAAGTTATTTTTATTATGCGTAGAATTTGAGACAGAATTCGAAAACGGATTTTCAAAAATATGGTGCCATTTAAAAAATCAACATTGCTATCAAAATCTAATTTTTTAATCACCCTGTACATTTTCCCTTTAGTGGAAAAAATGCACAAGAAAAATTATAATAAACGTATGCGAGCATTTTTTTTACCCAACACCTGAGTTTTAAATGTATTTGTTCCACATTTTAGACGACGATTGTATTTTTAAGTAATTAGCGTCAACATAATGTAACGTAAATTTAATGACTTGTTTTATTTATTGATAAATTTATGACAGTCTTGAAATTTATTAATCTATAACAGTATTTATTATTTATCACTTACAATTTATAACATAACATGACGGGAGCTTAATACTTCACTTCGCAACAATGTTAGAACTACCTGAACACAAATCGATTTGCTTATACAGGTTGATTCAAATTCGAGGGCCACCATGGGAATCTCGGGAACTGTAAGAGATAGATTGGTAGTTTAAATTTGGCAAAGTTGCGTAAATTGATGCTTAACAAAATGCAGTTTTGAAACTTAAACAATTCCGACTACTCGGAGATATCCGGAAAAAGGCGAAACTTTGCAAAATTGTTTTTATTTTTTACTGAAGTTATTTAAAAAGATATTTCGAAATAAATAACACATTATTATGACCACTTTTTTCTCTCTGCAAGATGCTAGTTTTAAATTTTAAATCGGGCGTTTCGTCTCCGGTTGACATCAACTTTGTTTTTTTCTTATAGAAGTAATTTTTACTTTTTGGGTTATTTGATAGAAAATTCAAAAGAGAGTTCAAAAATATAAACATCACAATTTTTTTAAATTATTAAAATATCTTCTTTTTTGCCTAGAAAACTTTGTCTTAGATAGTGTACGTACGTAGTTTCTTGCGTTTTTACGAATTAATAGCGCTATTTATGATTAAATATGTTAGAAGATAGTGATGTTTACATGTTTGAAATCAGAAAAAAATTCTACATCAAATGACACAAAAAGTTAAAGTTGATGATGGTTGACTGGAGACGAAACGTCAAACTTAAAATTTAAAAGTAGCATCTTGTAGAGGGACAAAAGTGGCCATAATAATGTATCATTTATTTCGAAATATCTTTTTAAATAACTTCAATAAAAAATAAAAACGATTTTGCAAAGTTTCGCCTTTTTCCGGATATCTCCGAAAGTAGTCGGAATTTTTTAAGTTTCAACTTTGCCAAATTTAAACTACCTATACCTATCTCTTACAGTTCCCGAAATCCCCATGGTGGCCCTCGAATTTGAATCACCTTGTATAGCAGACGCCCATATTTCTTGAAAGTTCTCGAACGCTTCCGAACGTTGCCGAATCTTCTAGAATGTTCTCGAACAAATACGTCAAGCTTTATATATATTTTCAAATTTTTGGATTCGTCATTTTATAATACTGATGTGCAGTTCAATTACCTATGTAAAGTTAAAAAATACATCCTAGATTCTAAGAGCGTATAAAATTAAAAAATAATGCAAACAAATTGATGCAGTATTTTGGATTTATCTAAATGTTACTATAACGAAGAATCTGAACCCACAGTAAGATCATCAGTATTAACTTTCTTTAGGTTAACACGTATTTCGCGTAATAGATGCGTTACAAGTTAGCCGATCTACAATGAAGGTATACAGTGATATTCATGTAGAAGTAGACATAGAGATTTCCTATACTTTTACATGATAAAAACTCTCCTGAAAGACGCCGAATTTTATGCAACCAAAGTAACTACCTAAAACAAAATGAGGATTTGCCTGTCATCTCAATTAATTCGAATGCTTTGATTTCCCTATTCTAATTTCGGTTCGTGTGCGATGTATTCAACTGAAGAAAAAGTTGATATTTCCAATTGGTATAGTGCCGATAACAGTTAAAGGAGCTTGAGCTTTATTTTCTGTGAAGCTAAAGTAACAATATTCAAATTAATAATTAATATGACAGCCAGATCTTTATTTGTTTCAAGAAGTTATTTTGGTTGCATAAAATTAGGCGTCTTTCAGGAAACTTTTTATCATGTAAAAGTAGACATAGGAAATTCCTATAGGAAATCCGTATGTCTACTTCTTCTACTGTATACCGAGAATAAGCTATACCTAGAATAAATGTCGACGGTTGCATTGGTTACCATTGTGTCAACCAATGGGATACATGTTGCTATGGCAGTTATTCCAAGAATATCTTATTCTGCGTAAAAGTGTAATTGTAAAACCGGCCCTAAAACGAATTTGCTTGTAGTCAAAGAGGCTTCGTCACGTCATGCTCAAAACTTAAAGCAGTAGCTACGTTTGAAAATAAATGCAATGTAGTGATGTGAGCCCATGGATTGTCGCGACCCTAATTTAAGTATATAGTCCATGATTTCGAATTGTCGCTCCTACGTGAATCCATCAATACAATTTGAAACAATTTTCGCAAATGTTTAAATCAAATGTTAACAGGGAGAAAG